GGGCAATAGATTGTCTTCTTCTGGGACGGATGTTTCTGCTTTGATAATAAATAGATCCTCATGGGCTCATTAGATCTGTTCAGACTGAGGCTTCAGTTTGAACATGTTTAATGGAACAGTGCCTGTTACTAATTAGCTAGTTGTTATGGGATCGGGGGATGGTGCAGGCGAGGAAAGGATGACGATCCACAGTGCGGCTCCAAGATGACAGGGGTTTGTTTATAACACATGTTACGAACCCCAATCTAGGGTTGGGGCGTAACAGAATGGAAGGGAACGGGGATTGGGAATAAGGGAAACACAGGGTGTGGTGCACAAGGTAACACACGTGAACAAAGGGGTATAGTTTTATATTTTTTTTCCTTATTTTATTTACACACGACAGGCACAGAACAGCAAACCTGGTGCTTCAGGAGTGATTATGGCCAAAACAATAAACAAAACCCCGACTACCGAACGAAACCCAAATCTAACTGAACTAGTAAAAACCAAAGAACACAGTAACAACAAGTCCTACACCTTACTCCCTAACCAAATCACAGTGTACACAAAGTCTTTCAAACAAAACGGCAATCACTCCCTACGCACCAGAAACACACACACAGCACATATACAGAGCAAAGCGTCAGAGTCTGAGGGGCGCGCTTAGTCGTAAACAAAAACCGGGTGAAAGATCGAAAACCAGAAAGCAAACAAAACCAGGGCAGAAGTAGGCCTACAGAGAAAGGGCAAAGCGAGAAATCGTAAACCGAGAAACCAAAACCGTCATACACAATAATCAATCAATAAGCAAACCAAAGACAATCCAAAATATGAGCAGAGCTCTCGAGGGTTCTTTCTGTCCGGCTTTTCACTTTCACCGGACGGAAGTGACGGCCGGCTTGCGGGGAAACGTGGGCGAGGTCCAGATGGGGAGGCGGAGCAAGGGCCAAGCCGAGTGGTCCTGGCCGGGGGCGGAGCCGAACAACAGCGGCGCGTAACACACAACACAGAGCAGAAAATAAGGGAACCACGAGGGGTCAAATGGCCATAACAACAAAACACAGGGGAACACTAATAAAGAGCAGCAACCCAGGGAGCAGAACTAAGGGGAAAATAACTACACAGGAATCCAATACACACAGGAACAAAGCACAGGATCAACAGCATGTGATACAATGACCAACTGAGGGAACTGACCACAGGCAGGCAGTAAAATACACAGATCATGGGGACTAACAAAAGGCAGGTGTGAGAACTCAAAACAATCAACCAATCAGAGCAGACACAGGAAACAGGTGGAATTAACTAACAATTAACAAACAGAACTAAGGAGCTATGAACCTGGGACCAGGGACAACACTTGTGAGGGAAATATTGACTAGAGGGATATTTTGTAATTAGCATTTCATATGTACTTTATACAGCCTGTAACTTATGGGTCTGGCCACCTGCAAGCAGCCCCCACTCACTGTAGCCTTTTGTGGTTTTCCTGCTCTGTCTGATAAACATGCTCTAAACCTGCATTTCTGTTCTCTAGCCTGCATTTCTGTTCAATCTAATGAGCACAAAGTTCAAGCACATATTGCTACACTAAGGTTAACTCTTAATTCTCTTAAGCTGACATTCTTGGCTGTCAGCTGCCTAACATTCAGGTACTTTTGCTTTAGTTGCACAAAGATACA